CTGTACACGTATGAGCAGGAATACTCAAGCACCATGTGTGGTGGTAAATGTCCATGAACTCAGAGTTAAACACCTACGTGGAAGAGCATTCATATAATTAATTAATTAATTAATTAATTAATTAAAATGAATGAAATAGATCTTAAAGATATTGAGTTTTTTAAAAAAGCAAGTTGCAAAAAAGTATGGACAGTAGGATACCATTTGTGTAGATTTTTTAAATTAACAAGACAAACCATAGTAAAAGCATAAAATATAGATTTATATATTTTTAGGGCAATTTATATGTCAACCTCTGGGGAGGGGGAGAGAGAACAGGACGGAGGGCTTTGGTTGGATTGCTTGTATTTCTTTTTTTTTTTTTTTTAAGATTTTATTTATTTATTCATTCATGATAGAGAGAGAGAGAGGAGGCAGAGACAGGCAGAGACATAGAGGGAGAAGCAGGCTCCATGCCGGGAGCCCGATGTGGGACTCGATCCTGGGACTCCAGGATCACACCCTGGGCCAAAGGCAGGCGCTGAACCGCTGAGCCACCCAGGGATTCCCTTTTTTTTTTTTTTAATTTTTATTTATTTATTTATGACAGTCACAGAGAGAGAGAGAGGCAGTGACACAGGCAGAGGGAGAAGCAGGCTCCATGCACCGGGAGCCCGATGTGGGAGTCGAACCCGGGTCTCCAGGATCGCGCCCTGGGCCAAAGGCAGGCGCCAAACCGCTGCGCCACCCAGGGATCCCTTTTTTTTTTTTTTTTAAGATTTTTATTTATTTGAGAGAGAGTGCACATAAGTAGGCAGAGCAGCAGGCAGAGGGAGAGGGAGAAGCAGGCTCTCCGCTGAGCAGAGAACCAGATGTGGGGCTCCATCCCAGGATGCCAAAAGCAGACACTCAACCAACTGAGCCACCCAGGTGCCCCCCTTTTTTTTTAATGTTTTTTTTTTAAAACAGCGAAAAATGTTAAATCTGTTATGTTTGACTAGTGAGTTCATGCTATGTGTTGTAGTATTTTCTATAATTTTTTATGGTTGAAATATTTCATAATTTTCAGAAGAAAGTATTTTGAACACATAAGCATGGTTAACTAAATTTTTTTAAGGATTTATTATTTGTTTTGAGAGAGAGAGAACATGTGGGGGGCTGCAAGGAGGGGCAGAAGGACAGAGAGAGAGAGAGAGAGAGAGAGACACTCTCAAGCAGACTCCCCGCTGAGTGGGGAGCCCAATGGGGCTTGACCCCAGGACCCTGAGATCATGATCTGAGCTGAAACCAAGAGTCAGACACATAACCAACTAAGCCACCCAGGCGCCCCACGTGGTTAACTAAATTTTAAATAATTTTTACCTTCTTCTCAATTTCTGTTTAAAATAGATATTATAGGGATCCCTGGGTGGCGCAGCGGTTTGGCGCCTGCCTTTGGCTCAGGGCGCGATCCTGGAGATCCGGGATCGAATCCCATATCGGGCTCCCGGTGCATGGAGCCTGCTTCTCCCTCTGCCTGTGTCTCTGCCTCTCTCTCTCTCTCTGTGTGACTATCATAAATAAATAAATTTTTAAAAAAAATTAAAAAAATAAAATAAAATAAATATTATAAATAATGTCTATTAAATAGATGTCAGAAAACTAGAGAAACTAAATAACTCAGATTCTCATCACTCAAAACAGTCCTTGTTAATGTTTTGGTATATTTCCTCCCATGTTTTTCCTTGTGTGGGTGCCTGTGTGTTTAAACATACTTCTCAGCATCTTGGGCACACATATTGAATCCTGCCTTTTTCGCTCATTATATATAGTATCACCCTTTTTCCATGTTATGACTTAGACTCCATGAACATCATTTCTGTTGACTTCCATTAAACATTGTCCACAGCTTGCTTAACCAACATCATTTTTGCATAAAGCCAGGAACGTTCAGCAGTCACGCAGTCCCATACTTGTAAACATAATCATTTTGAAAGCCTCAGGAACAGGATTGGGTCATGCTCTCTGTTGATTTCTACAAGGCTGTTTCTGTGTGGGATGACAGTAAAAAGGTCTGTCACATCTGTGATATCACATTCCAAGGAAGACAGAGCTTGTCAGCATTCATCCCGTGGGTTGGAACTGTACATATTTTAAAAGCCAGTTCTGGGGACGCCTGGGTGGCTCAGCGGTTGAGCATCTGCCTTTGGCTCGGGGAGTGATCCCGAGATCCTGGGATCAAGTCCCGCATCGGGCTCCCCGCATGGAACCTGCTTCTCCCTCTGCCTCCATCTCTGCCTCTCTTTGTGTTTCTCATGAATAAATAAATAAAATCTTAAAAAAAAAAGCCAGCTCTGTATATATCTTGCCTGAGAGGCAACAAGTGCTTGTACATACTTGTACATCCAGCATTTGGTCTGGGCTCCTGAATCTTTGCTGATCCTGTTAAACTTGTGCTTTGAGGCCTGAGGTAATAGCAGAAATAATTAGTCCAGATATTTATGTGGCTCTTCCCAGCTTACAGGTGCTCTCACATCCATTGCTACCAGATCTTCTCTGGGCCCCCAGGAGGTTAGGTGTAGAGTGAGCACACAGCTGGCCCTGGATTCCAGCCAATAAGTGAGAAAGTCAGCACCACCATCCAGTGACACCTACCAGAACTCTTCAGTTACTGTCCTTAGGTTCAGGCAAGAGGGGTCGTGTCTACCCAGAGCCCACTGTCCTCTTCTAGACTCAGGGTCCCTGGACTTTCTTAGTAAATGGTCCTGAGCACTTCCAGGTCCTATGCAAGCTTGAATCTCTTCTGCTGGGAACCAGACTACCTGTGTGTGCATGCCTGGGTCCAAGGGTAGCATTTTGCAGGGAGTGAGCAGATCTTAGACCTGCAGGCTGCAGGATGAACCCAGGATCAGGGATGTGGGCAGGGGGCAGCTGCAAAGGCTGAAGGTTAACATCCCATATAATGTAGCTCAGAGCTGCAAAGACTCCAAGAGCTCTAAATTCAGGCCTGGCCTTCTCGGCCATATATTTGTTAGAGTGGTAAGAGGATAGAATGTATTCTGTTTGACAGTTAGCTTGATCTGTAACTTTTAACCACTTAGAGATTTAGCATAGGGACCTCCTTTTCTCCTCTAGCTCTAGGACCCACAGATCTTAAGAACAGTATCAGCTCTCTTATTATCCTGTTTCCAGCTGTTTCCAGGTCCCTCTTTTTCTATCCAAGGCTAAAGACCTACTGAGTGGGATGTAGAGGAAGACAATCTAGAACCAGTAAAACAAGTGTATAAAATAAAAACAATTTAGTGTATGAAATATCAATATCTGATACCCCCTGTGTCTACATGTAAAGGCAAGAAATGCATTTCAGGGAAGAATAGAGTACAACCACCTGCTGTAAGGATGAATCAGCCCAGCACATCCAGCCAGATCACAAATAGAAACCAGCGAGTAAAGCTACAATCTGCTGCTCTTCCCCTTCTCATTTCCCTGCACCCCCATCCCATTTCCCTCGCTGTGTACCGCAGAACCACCGCCCTCTGTTGGTGGCTTTAAGCCATGCAAGAAGTCGGACTCCTGCCCTCCCGACATGGCCCAGCCAACATCAGCATGAGAAATCCATGCTGCAAGAGTTTTCATTTTAATTCTTTGACCACTAAATTAACTTTTTTCAGTTCCCCAACCCCCAGCAGTGTTTCTGATTTGTGATTTAGGATTTGACTGTGACTGGAGAAGCATGAAATCATTAAAACAATTTCATTGTCCCGTTTTCTTCCTCTACAGAAAACAGAGATAAACAGCCAAAGTCTGGATAATTAAATGCACGCATAAGGACAGACTTCACTCAGTCCACTTTATTAAAGACATTTCACTTGATTTTCCCAACTAACCAGCCAGGGAACTAATTTAGGTAAAGCTTAGAGAGGCTAAGTAACTATTATGATAGCTATTATAGGTAAAGCATCTCAGAGACGTTAAATAATGTGGCTGAGATTATCCAGCTGGGAGGTGGTGAACGAGGACTCAAACTTAGGCTGATCCAAATTACTGTCAGGACCCAAATAGAAGGATGGGTTTTGTCTAAACTTCTACTCATTGGGAAAAAAAAGAGTCACCCTCTATCACAGCATACAGAAAGTAGCAGAGCCCTCTCTTGATTATTCTGTTTTGATGAAGTTTTGTTTGGGAACAACATTAGCCAGGAATAGTCTTTGGTCAATGCTCATTCTGGAAGTTTGTGCAGGTCAGCCGACCAAATTGGTTGTTAAAAAAGTATGCATGGGCGAGGTGAATCTTTAATACAGATTTAGTAATTATTCCTGGAGCTATGCTTTTTTTTTTTTATCACAAATGAGGCTTTTTAACGATTTCTTTTTAAGTGGTATCTTGTGGAGATTGTGAATAGGGTAATTTTTCATTGATAAACCATACAGTGACCTAAAAAGTACTCGATCTCAAACAAGATAAATGGAAATGAACTCAACATGCTTGGAAAAACTGAAGACAAAGAACTCCCATGTGGAAGGTGCACATGAAAACTTGGAATAAAATCGTTTCATGAAATATGAGTGAATAAAACAAAATGATATATCCAAATTAACATTTTATTCATTAGGATTTAAATACATCTGGATAACTAAATAATTATATATAGACATTTTGTTACATCAAACATTTGGTTGTGTTGTCTCTATATTCACATTGGCTAAAATCATTGGGTGTGGGAGGAGGGGAGTCTGGAAAAGAAAGGCTGGCCTCAGGCTGGGGTAACACACTAAGTGTTTTTTCCAAAGCACTGAGCTAGAACCCATGACAAGGAAGAAGTGGGTTTGTGCTGGATCCACAGTGGTGATAAAGGTTACTGGCTCCTGTATGTCCAGCTCCTTACAATTTCCCAAGCATTGCTGCACTGGAGACTCACAGCCTCTTGCTTGATAGGGTCTGTGGTTGTCCTGAATGTCCACCCAAGGACTCTGTGTGTCTTTGCATTGGTGACTTGGCTGTGGGAAGGGATGTAATGAGACTGCTTTTCCCGTCTCCTGCAGGCAGCACTAGTTGGAGGCACCACCATGGTCATCGGCCACGTCCTGCCTGATAAGGAAACCTCCCTTGTGGATGCCTATGAGAAGTGCCGGGGTCTGGCGGACCCCAAGGTCTGCTGTGACTATGCCCTGCACGTGGGGATCACCTGGTGGGCACCCAAGGTAATGGTGCTGGGTGGAATCCCAAAAGAAGAATGAATGTTCTTTTTAGAACAGGCACAGGCGCCATTTGGTCAGAGTCAGCTAGGGTGGGGTGCTCTCCCAAAAGTGTGGGACCCGCACCACCACCATCCCAACTCCCCCAAATGCCAAGAGAAAAAACACATGGTTCCGCAAGAGGACCAGAAGACTCATTCTGCTTAATTTAAAGGACCAGTTTTCCAGCAGACACAGAGGGCCTAAGACCAGAGGTGTGGAGAGCGCTGAGTCCTTGCTCAGACCACAGCAGCAACTCTTTTAAGCATTTGACGGAATACTTTACAGTAAGCGCCGCTGACCCCTAAAGTGGCTGCTGCTGAATAGTGGGCTTGGCAAGAGTCAGGCTCATTGTCATGCTGGAAGTGACAGCTTGGTCCTGAGGGCTCAGAACAGAACAGAGGGTCCGATACTGACTGGCTTATTGCTGCCTGGTACAAATGGACTGGGCTACTTCTTTGCTGGGGGGCCCAGCTCCTGCTCTGAGGACCGTGAGGCTGCTCCTGGCACATGCTGAGGCTGGCTCCCGCTGAGCCGTTTCTCGCTTCAGCCGCTGTGGCCCTCTGGCTTTCCTGTCCTTCCACTGCTCCAGGCCTCAGGGCCAGAGTCCAGTCCCCTTTCCCTGATTCCCACTTCCTTGCTCTTCCCCAAAACAAATAGACAAGCGTTTATATTTTGTTTCACTTCTGGACTTTTACTGCTTGTTATCCCAGGGAAGCAGTCTGGATGCTCATTCTTTTATCAATTCCGTGTTAATCACCATGTGCCGGTACTCCGTGGGTGCCCTAGAATCAGAAAAATAAATAAGCACTGGGGCACCTGGCTGGCCCAGTCAATAGAGCGTGTGGCTCTTGATCTCAGGATCCTGAGTTCATACCCCACTTTGCGCATAACATCGTCTACTTTTAAAAAAACAAACAAAAATAAATAAATAAAAAAACAAAAAACAAAAACAATAAGCATTAAGACATTTTACAAAGTTCTTCAGCTCTAGAGACTGGTCTACAGGGCCTGACTCCCTTCTCAGATGGTAATTAAAAGCCTCAGGTACTTCTGCCCTTGGGTTTTAGCTGTGAGTGTGGAGCTCACCCAGTCTCCTCTGTTATTTCTCACCTGGTCCTTCTGAAAAGCTCGGACCCCTCCAAGCCTCACACCATGAAGACCTCCCTCCTGGTATTGGGTAAAGGCACAGACCACCCTAAATATCAGTCAGCCCTTATCTCAGGTGAGGGTTTTGTTTATTTTGGACACCCTCCTGGGTGGATGACCCTACCTGGAGCCTCTCTATTCCCTCCACCTGGAGTTGGCCTGGAATAGAGCATCCATTCCAGTTCTCAGCCACACTGAAGCCAGGCCAGCCATCCTTAGGTCCCCAGAGGTTGTGGGGACTTCCACACATCTAGAATTTCAAATTCTTTTTTTTGTTATTATCAAATAATTTCTTTCTAACTGAAGATTTTAAAAATAGAAAAGAAGCCCATCATCTGGTCACTCCAACACAACCACTATTGTTTTAGCTTATTTCCTTCCAGTCTTTTCTTCATATGTGCTTTTTTTACATAGTAACTCTTTTACTCAATGTGAGCATTTTTGGTTTGGCTGCATGGTCTTCATGACCATCAGTGTGGTGGCTACCTAATGTCCTATCAACGAAATAAACCTCAATTTATATTCCTATTGTCAGACCAATGTTGCTTCCAGTTTTTTCCTAATATAGGTAACGTTGGGATGAAACTCCTTATTCATGTAGCTTTGATCATATTCCTAAATTAGATTTTCCCCAGAGTCTCAAGATTGGGTTTCTTTGTTTAATTTTACTTTTAGGCAATCTCCAAGCCTGACCTGGGGCTCGAACCCACAACCCCAAGATCAAGAAGAGTTGCATGCTCCACTGACTGAGCCAGCCAGGCACCTTGGGTCTCAGGATTTTTAGCATTATTCTACTGAATTGTGCATATTTATTAAGGGGGCAGAGGGCACAAGCCCTGAGAGTAAAAAGGTGTTAGTGCATTTATGAATAAGGCTAACTTGGAGTCAGAAACATAGGACAAGCCTACGGAATAGCAGAAACATGCCTGGACAGTAACAATAAAGTTCCTATATGTGTGTCATACTTGACAATTTTCAAAGTACTTCTGCATCTGCTTGCTCACATGACCTCACAGCAGCCTGTGGGGTGGGTGAAAAGTGAGATGATACTGTGAGGTTGCTGGTGGTCATAAGGCCCACATCTCCATCCTGAGCCAGCATCTGCCAGCCAGCCTCTTGAACATCTGTACTCACGTGGCATTGCCTTTGCATTTTGCTCTAGGTGAAAGCAGAAATGGAGACACTGGTAAGAGAGAAGGGTGTCAACTCCTTCCAGATGTTCATGACCTACAAAGACTTGTATATGCTTCGGGACAGCGAGCTGTATCAAGTGTTGCATGCTTGCAAGGACATTGGAGCGATCCCCCGAGTCCATGCTGAGAATGGGGAGCTCGTGGCCGAGGCAAGGCAATAGAGAATAGAGAATATGGAGGAGGGGTGCTGGGGTGCCAATACAGATAACTGGGTCTGGGTGGGGGGGAGATTCCTGACCACCCATCACCCATCTCACAATTTTGTTCAGACAAAATAAGTTATAAAAGAAAGTGCAAGATGTTGACAACCCCACAGATGACAAATCTTAATCAGAAAATCCAAACTTGTCTACTATCTGTAAAAACAACAACAACAAAAAAAACAACTCTTCACAGTACAAAATGGTTTCTAAGTCTTAGATAATGTCTTAGTTCTAATATGATATTTAAATTCCATTATAGCAAAAGAATTTGAAGCACCTCTAAGAAATATTTTAAGGAGATTTGACATCAGAATAAATGAGAGTCAGCTCTCTGCTTTCCTGTTACCATCCGCCCTCCAGAAGGGCTGGGATATTATTAGCGGTCTACTCACTGATAGATGAGTCCCTTTGTGCTCCTGGATCTTAAATAGGATACTTGGAAAGGGTTCATCTAGATGTGGCTGGAAGCTAGAGACTTGACTAGACTTCAGTGGGGCAGTTCTGACTTTCAGTCCAATCGTCTTTCACGTCCCAAACTTGCTGGTTAGATACAGAACTGTAATTTTAAGAGGAAAAAATATATTCCATCCTTAAGGAGGTGAGACCTAGGAGAGTCTTACTGCAAGGGAGCCCTGTACTGATTCTGCCCTCTTTGGGAGATGAATACTACAGAGGTGAGAAAAATACCAAGTCTATTGCAATGGGCTCTGTCCAACATATTTGAGAGTCCCTGGGGTTTGTGATTTTCTTGTATCATTCAATTTTCTGTCTTTTATTCAGGGTGCCAAGGAAGCGCTAGATTTGGGTATCACGGGCCCAGAAGGAATCGAAATCAGCCGCCCAGAGGAGGTGAGGAAAATTTTCTGTGCCTTTTGTCAGCTTCTTTCCTATGGGTTCATAGAATCTTTCTTTTTTTTAAATTATTTATTTATTCATGAGAGACACAGAGAGAGAGAGAGGCAGAGATATAGACATAGAGAGAAGCAGGCTCCCTGCAGGGAACCTGATGTGGGACTCGATCCGGACTCCAGGATCATGCCCTGAGCCAAAGGCAGATGCTCAACCACTGAGCCACCCAGACATCCCTGGATTCATAGAATCTTTTTTTTCTAAGATTTTATTTATTTACTCATGAGAGCACACAGAGAGAAGCAGAGACATAGGCAGACAGAGAAGCAGGCTCCCTGTGGGGAGCCCGATGTAGGACTCGATCCCAGGACCCTGGGATCATGCCCTGAGCCAAAGGCTTTGGACTTCCTTGGGAATGACATTTGGGGGGAAACCAGACCCATCTGATTTAATTCTGATTTCAGGGATCTGAGGGAGACAATGTGAGCACAGCAGGGGCTGCTTTCCCCAAAATTGAATGGGCAGTGGGGAGACAGAGTGAAAGGACCTTCATGTGTGTGTGTTTTTTTTTTTAACGATTTTATTTATTTATTCATGAGAGAGACAGAGAGAGAGAGAGAGAGGCAGACATAGGCAGAGGGAGAAGCAGGCTCCATGCAGGGAGCCTGATGTGGGACTCAATCCCGGATCCCCAGGATCACGCCCTGGGTCAAAAGCGGTGCTAAACCACTGAGCCACCCGGGCTGCCCGGACCTTCATGTGTTAAAAGAAATTCCAGGCTATAAGCCAGTGAGTGAGTCAACGTTTTTGGAATGAGATCCTTTTGAGCATCTGAGGAAAACTTCAGATGCTTCCCACCAACAACCAGAGGCACACAGGTGTCCATGCTCCCTGCCCCTTATTACCCCATGACCCACGGCAATGGTAATGAAAAGCCCCACCATCCTTCTGCCCTGTGGTTTTGTCCTTGTGCAGTTTTGCAGGGCATCCACCCACATCCCCCATAGCCCCCCCCCCCACTAAAGAATTCTGCTCTGGCGGGATCACATTGGACAAATAGTGCCTTCTTGTCCTGTGACCCTATTCAGATATCCTCTGCCATTCGTGAGGAGAAAGCTATTTCCCATTTCTTCAAAGCCTTCCGTGCAGAATGCTGGCTGGATGTTCACGAGGCACAAGGATCCAGAGACAGCAGAGACAGGATGTGATGGCACTGCCATCAGTCGGGCAAGGCCCTGAGTGTGCCTGTGAGAACAGGAGTGGGCGGTGGTCACAGGACTGGGCTTTGTTCACTTATAGGAGGGCAAGAGCAAGGCTTTGACTGTAGGGTATTAATAGCATGAGCCATCACTGACATCATCTGCTGGTTAAAGTCTCCACGCCGGGGGAGATTTTGCTCTCCAGAGGACACTCAGCAATGCCTAGTGACGTTTTTGGTTGTCCCACCTGGGGATGGTACTGCTGGCATCTAGTGGGTAGAGGTGAGGGATGCTGCTTGAGGATCCCAGGGTGCCCAGACAGCCCCTACCTCCAAGAATTACTGGACTCAGAATGTTTATAGTACTGAGGTTCAGAAACCCTGGTCTAGGCTAATTTCCAGCCTGATATTAGGATTGTTCTTTGCTACCGCGCTGTGTGGCTGTGGAGACAATACATCAGAAAGCATGGAGAGATGGGACTCTAGGTTTCCCTTTGCTTTTGTTTCCTTGCCTTTTATTTAAGGCCCGAGTAGCATCCCAAAAGGATGTGCTGGGGATACTAAGTTCTCGGATTCCCTCAGGGCGAGCAGAGTGCTTGGAGCTTGGTGCTCCTGTGATGCAGCCCCTATGGGTGCTGTTGACCCTTCCAACTCTGTGTTCGATGTACCAACACTTTGGACAAAGTGGGCTCCCGAGCAGATGTGGGCTTGCTTGGAAGAGATAGTGAGGCTTGTTTTCTTCCTGTCCTTTGTTTCTAACAGCTGGAAGCTGAAGCCACTCACCGAGTCATCACCATTGCAAACAGGGTAAGTAGACCCCACCTGCCCCTGAAACCATTCTCGACTCTAGGTTCAGAAACCAGAATCTTCTGTCTACACAGCGGAGTCCCATTCTGTCCTGGCTGCCAACATCATTCCTGACTCTCAGGACCTCAAAACTGCTTGCTGGGTGAATGCTGCTTTTCCCACAGACCTAGCGGAGGTCCTTGCTGTCTGCTCTCTCTTCCACCCCCTTGAGCTTGCTGAGTCTGGCTTCACTGCTCAAGTGGAAGTGGTTCCCACAGGAGGAGGATGGGTTTGGAGGCCACAGAGCCTCCCTGCAACCAAACTCTGTCTTCTGTAGAGGAATTCAGTAGATGTTTGCTTTGAGAACTGAGATTTAAGCCTCTGCCTCTGGACCACTTAGAAGTTTTCCTTGGTATCGCTCAGGGTCAGGGGGTACAGATGCAGTGTGGTGGTGGGAAATGAGCAAGAGATGTGAGGCCTTTACCAAATATAAGCTCTCCACGTATGCAGGTCACTCAACCACTCTGATAGACTCTTCTGTTGTCTGAAATTGGTTTAGTCATAACACTTCTCACGGCATGGTTGTGAGGATCAAAGGAGGCAGAGAAGGAAAGGCACTTTATAAACAGCAGAGCACTAGACCAAGGTTATTTCTCCTTCTAAACAATCATTAAAGAGTTCGATTTGCTCAGATAATCTGAACTGTCGCCTCTAGAACACCGGTTTTCTCAGTGTAGTGCCTGGACTGGGAGCATCGACATTTGTTAGAAGTTTAAGAATGCAAATTCTCAGGCCCTCGCAGACCTATTGAATCAGGAATGTGGGAATGATGCCCAGCCATCAGTTTTAAATAGCCCACCCCCGATTCTAGTGGGCACTCATGCTCAGAGAACCTCTCTTCTGAAAAGCCATGGACTCCCCCTGAAGGATGTAAGCCTCAGGGGTGGTGTTAGGAACACCAGAGAAAACACAAGAGGTTGGAAGTCCAGCGGATCTCAGAATTAGTAAAGTTGTGCCAAGCACATGACATGTTGGGCCTTTTCCTAGGCTCTCTGTCCTCTCATTTTGATAAGTAGAGAAGGCATCACAATAACATTTGGGAAAAATTTCCGATTAGCAATCTACAAGTCTGGGCACTGGACAAGGACGTTGTTTTACTGGCACGATGGTAGTAATGATATCAGTTACTTCCTGATGGAAACTTGCCCCAGAATAAAGAAAGATCTGAACAACAGAAGGCCAGATTCCTGGGTTTTGGGTTTTGTTTTTTTTTTAAGATTTTATTTATTCTTTCATGAGAGACACAGAGAGAGAGGCAGAGACCTAGGCAGAGGGAGAAAAAGGCTCCCTATGGGGAGCCTGATACAGGATTCGATCCCAGGACCCCGGGATCACGTCCTGAACCAAAGGCAGATGCTCACCCACTGAGCCCCCCAGGCACTCCCAGCTTCCTGTTTTTTAGTTCAAACATATGCCTGGAGAAGTGAAGAGAGGACAAGCTCATCAATACTACAATCCAGGTGTCTATTTGCAAGACCAATCCTGTCTGACTCAGACTCCGAACCCTGAACCTCCTGTATTTCGTTTCTTCTCCAGGGTGCATTCTATCTACTGATAAAGCAGCCCTCATACAGTATAATCCTCGACTGTCTCTAGGTCATCACACTCATGAACGAAAATAGGCCCTTGTATTAAGTTATCAATCATCTTGATTTGGGCTGGTAGAGGATGGGAGGTTCAGCCCTCAACATCTTGCCCTGACATTGCCCCTGGGCTCTGGTGCTGGGTGCTGCCTGCCTCCTCCTCGCTTCACGCGGTCTGGGCTCGGGCTGCCCCGCATTCCTGAGAGTGGGGGCTGAGAGACGCAGGGGTTGGCACTGGGGCCAGGATTGGTTTGCCCGGGGCTGGGCTAGTGCTTAGCCGGTTCCTGGGGTTGATGCACTCTCTTCCCACTGGGTTTTCCTTTAGACTCACTGCCCGATCTACCTGGTCAACGTGTCCAGCATCTCGGCCGGCGATGTTATTGCAGCTGCTAAGATGCAAGGTGAGTCCTGGGGCTGGAGTGGACAGTGCGCGTGCATGGTGGGGTCACAGCCCTATGGGGCCTACCAGCGCGGTGTCCGCCCTTTCTCCACTGTCACCCTCAGAAGCCTTCTGCCCTAACCCGGCCTCCGTGTTCAGAACCAGTGTTTCCTCTGCACACTTGTCTGCCTAACAGCTTTACAGGCATGTCTGTCACCTCTCCTGGGTCTGGTAAAATTTTCCAAGTTTTCAGGCAACTTGTTCATTGCTACCTTTTGGCCTCTTGGGTTTTACTAGTGGTTGCCTTGGTAACCAACATAAAATACTGGACCAGTTCCAACGGGCCTTTCAAGGGGTGCCTGAGAAGGCCCTGGAGAAATAACAGGTAGGAGCCCAGCCTCCCTCACAGCCACCCGGCTCCATGTCCGAGCCCCAGGGCACCTGTGGGTCATGGCCTGGCTCAGGGTGCCAGTGAGGTCCTGGTAACAGGAGAAACAAAGTCATGGTCACAGACCTGGGGATATAAATTAGAGCAAGGGCTTCCAGCCTTCTGGCAGTATGGCCTCAAGATCTGGCCCCTCACCTCTCCCCTAGGGGCAGCCCCTTGTGTGTCTCACCTGCACCGGTGTCTCTCCCTCCTCCTGTCCGCGCCCTACAGCACCAGTGCTCCAGCCAAAGGGAGCTCCTCCAAGCGCCCCTCCTCGGCACCCCTGCCCTTCTGTCCTCCTTGTCTGGAGCCAGCAGTAGCCATGTGGAGTGCCCTGGCCTTGAACCCCTCTGTGTTCTCAAACGCCTGCGTGAGCGTGGGCAAGTCCCTCCCTCCCCCTGACTTCGGCTCCTCCACCTGTGGCCAGTCAGACCAGTGAGCTCTCAGTTCAGTGGCTTCTCAGTTATGGTCTGACCTTCCTTCTTCCAGGGAAGGTTGTGCTGGCTGAGACCACCACCGCGCATGCCACACTGACGGGCTTACACTACTACCACCAGGACTGGTCCCACGCGGCGGCCTATGTCACAGTGCCTCCCCTGAGACTGGACACCAACACCTCAACCTACCTCATGAGCCTGCTGGCCAAGTAAGGCACCCCGGCAGAATGCTGGGGCCCCCGGAGCACATCGCTGACTCGTAATATGTGCCTCCCCGGGGATTTATAGATCTTCAAGGTGATGTCGTAGAGGCCCCAGATCTGACCTGGGGTTGATTCCCTTGTGCCCGTGGAAGGACTTAGCTCCGGTTCCCTTCTCCAGAGCCTGTCAGATAATTGCCATCCCATGGGGCTTCTCTGACCACTTGAGTTGGAGTGAGAGCTTCTGAAGTGTAAGAGTCAAGAGCTTATCAGTGTGAACAGTGCCGATTCGGAATTTCAAAGGACATTGCTTCCTTACCCTGAAGACCCTTGCAGGGCTATAGGATGTGGCCTCTGACGTGTCCTGGAATATAGGTGGACCTTTCTATCTCTGGGTTCACCTCTCCCTCCTCTCGTTGCTTCATGTGCGGTTTCTCTCCTGTGTGTTCCTCCCTTCTTTCTTTCCTCTTTACTCTTTTCCTTCTGCCCTCTCTCCCGCTTTCCCTTCATCCTTCCTTCCAGATCTCCTTTTCTCCAGCTCCCTCTCTTTTTAACACTACTTTTTCCCATGTGATCCAAATAGAAAAGGCACAGATTTAACAAACAGTCTGAATGAATAGCTTTTGTTCTGTTCCCAAACTGCTTGCAACTTCTTTATTTCCTTTAATGACATTTTGGGTGAAATCCATTGCTTTCTCTCCCTTCTGGTCATTAAAGTCCAGTCCAGTTTAAACATCAGCGTCCTCCCTTCCCCATGCCCAATTCAGGGCCAGGGGATTCTTCTCCACCCCCAAGCATCATGCAGGGCACAGGCCCAGTGAGGGCTCTCTTGTGCCTTCCTTACACCATCCCCAGCTCCAGGAGATAGATTTCAGCTTGACCTCTTCCTTCCTTACCTTCTAGCTTCCAGAACGAGCAGCATCCCCATAAACAAAGATCCTGGAAGGCAGCTCAAGCCTGACTACCTTCTGGAGTGTCTGGGCCCCAGTGAAAGCTCTCACAGCTTTGCCATTGTCTATGGTGGGAGGGCAGGTTGTCCCCACCCCACTGGCTCTCCTTGCCCAGAGCCCCAGGGCCAGTCCACCAGTCCACCTCTCAGACAGATGCCCACTGCCATCACCTCTGTTCTCCATGGGTGAACCTATTGAGATGTGCCCTCCTTAACTGCTAGGAAAGAGTAGGGAAGCCCACGCAAACCACAAAAAAGAAGAAGGAAGGAAAGATTACAGGGCTATCCATTCTGCAACATTTCAGTCTCCCTGCCTGTGTTCTGCTTCCATACCCCTGGGGATGGTGATTGACCTCTCTCTCCTAGGATGATAAGGAAAATGATTGAGAGAAGTGGCCAGCCCCAACTAAAGGGGACTCTCTTTAGATAACTGGGCACTTACTCTATCCATGCATGTCCTTACGTTTCCATCTTGGTTGCCACCAACTGGAGAATCCCCACCAGACATCCTGCTGTGTTAACACCTTAAAGTGGGGTGTGGGGCGCAGTCAATCAGGTCTCAGAGGGAGGAGGCCCCTGGAGTGGCAGTGTATGTGCAGCACAGTGCCGTGATTATTTCCCCTCCCACAGTATTGCTGTGACACTGAGCAGCAGTGGCCCTTATAGACTGAAATGAATTAGGGAGTATGAGAGAGGAAAAAATGTCAGGTCAGCTCTTACTTATAAAAAATGTTTCTCAGGGGCATCTGGGCGGTTCAGTCGCTGAAGCATCCGTCTCTTGATCGCAGCTCAGGTCTTGATCTCAGAGTTGTGAGTTCAAGCCCCACGTTGGGCTCCTTGCTGGGTGCGGGGTCTACTTTAAAAAAAAAAAAAAGCTTCTCATTGGGAAAAACCAGCCTCCTTATCATCATTATCAACACAACAAAAACAAACAAGTGTCAAGAGCCCACTGTAATACTTTGGGCTCAGTTCCAAGGTCAAAGAATTTTTTGAAACCACTCTGCTTGCCACAGGCAATTCAATGGAAAGAACAGAAGGGTGGTAAAGGCCTCCACCTACCCAAATTCAAATAGGCTGGGGGTGGGGCGAGTATTATTAATTGAATGATTTAAGGTTTTATATCTAGCCTATTTTTAGTTTAAATTATGTAAATAAATTCACTCAAGTTGAATTGTAATTTCATGTGAGCTATTATGAGAAGAGTTTGAATTCCTTTTTAAAATCAGTGCATATTGTAAAAGTGTGCAATTTTATAGAATTTGGAGCATTGTTTAACATTTTCGTTATTTACAGGAATTTATGGTCACTATCATTTTGTCTTTAGGACGCATTGTTGGTGATAATTGATATTACACAAAATACTTGATAGAAAACCCAGACACCAATTACCATATTCTTGTAAGAAAATGTGTGCTGCTTCATCATGATCTACTTTCAGATATGATTTCTTATATATCAGATCAGGGTAAAAAGCACAATCTACAGATGTAAGAGTTTATCCTTTACTTAAAATCTAGTTTATTTTTCCTTTCTTGTTTTCTTTTTTAACTGAAGTCTAGTTGACCCACGATGTGACATTAGTTTTAGGCATGCAACAATGATTTGACAGCTCTATGGGTTATGCTAGGCTCACAAGTGTAGCTCCCATCTGTCACCATACAACACTACTGCAGTGCCATTGACAGTATTCCCTATCTGTGCCTTTCATCCCAGTGACTGGAAACCTGTACTGCCCCCTCCCCTTCACCCATTTTGCCTATCCCTCCACCCCCTCCCTCTTGGCAACCATCAGTTTGTTCTCTGTGTAAAAAATCTAATTTATTAGAGGGGCCAGAAGTTTTTTCATCTGAATATGTAAAATGTTAAAGTACTTAAGAAAGCCAGTCATGTTTTAAACTTTAAAGAGTATGGTTTGGTGTGTCATATCTCCTAGATTCAGGGCAGCATTAGGTGACCTCTAAAGCCCTTCTGGAAAGGGCGCCTGGGTGGCTCAGCCATTAGGTGTCTGCCTTCAGCTCAGGTGGTGATCTCATGCTCCTGGGATTGAACCCCACATCAGGTTCCCAGCTAGCGGGGAGTATGCTTCTCCTTCTCCTTCTGTGCCTCCTCCCCCCACTCATGCTTGCACTCTTACTCTCAAACAAACAAATAAAAAATCTTAAAAAAAAAAAATTCCTTCTGGAATGTGACCACATTCATTCACACCTAACCCAAGGGCACCTAGGAGTCTTTTTTGAAGGTGGCTGCTCAGTAAGACTTGGTTAAAGAATTGGAGTTGAGGTCCCTAATACTCAGCCCATGACTCTTAAAGGCATCCAAACTAAAACCTTCCTCGGGCTTCTGGAGGACCTCTGAGAAGAAGGTGAAACTTTGTTGGGTTCTGCAGGCCCAGGGTATGTGGGCATCCCTGGGGCACCCTAGAGCAAACCCTCTACTCTGTGGAGAGTCCCTCCTGCAATCTTTGAGAAGGCCCAGAGCAGCATCTTTGGCTAATGAGGACACCAGCCCGTGCTACAGGGAGAGCTAAGTCATCTCACTGTGGATTTGGCCAAGGACATCAGTCATTTGGCACCATTTGTGACTGATGAGCCCTGCCAGGCCCCCAGTAGTCAGCCCAGTGTGCAGCGTGCAGCCTGACCCCGAATCGTCTGAGGGCTTAACAAATATGCCTGGTCACCAACCCAGTGAATGCCTTCTGCTCCCAAATTCCCCTTCTGATGTGGGCAGCTTGGATGGCCCGCAGGCATTCCCAAGGCTTTAGCACCTCCTACAAATAGATTAGACTCTTAGGGCTCCTGCTGTGTAGTCCCAGCAATCGTCCCCCTCTCCCACATGACCCCATGCTGCAGCCTGGACCCTCTGTGCCCTCCAACAGTGTTCTCTCCTGACGTTGCCCCAGCCTGGGCAACGTGGACATCCTTCCCCCTCTGCTCCTCCCCACCTCTGAGTCCTCAGTCTACAGAGATCTCTGAACAAGGCCAAGTTCTCTGCTGTCTCATGCATGGTCTCACCCTCCTGAGTCTCTGCCCTAAGTTCCTAGCTAGCCTAGAACACCCGGAGAGCTGAAGCCACCCGCAACCTTGCACAGACACCAGACTCAGTGACCGCCTGATGGTCATGGTGGGCAGGGGTGATGAACTAGTTGACTTGAATGTCATGACTGGTTTATGAAGACAGACTTCTCTCTGTCTTGGCCCTGCTTTCCCCTTCTGCCAGTAGAACTCCACATCCAAGAAAGGCTATGGCTGCAAGTTATTTAGCAAAGCATTGAAAAATATTAGGAAAGAAAATCCCCATAATTCCATATTGAGAAATTAAATTATTAATATTTTGATATATTTCCTTCTGGTTCTATGTGTGTACTATATGTTATTATAATAACTGGGTTCATCTCTTTTTTTCATATAGCAGTGTATCCTGTTTGCCTGTATCAGTAAAAATTCTTTTAAAACATCTTTTTTAACAGCTAAATAACATTTCAAAAACATTGAACCTGTAAATGTTTTGCCCAGCACATGCTTATCACCAACAGGGACTGGTAGGGGTTGAGGAAGATGAGGGGAAGTTGGTATGGGGGCTTGTGGCTATAAACCCCCCCTCAATGAGCAAAATTCTAAGTTCAATTTTTCTCTGCCCTCTGTCTTAACCCTTAAAAGTTGACATCCCAAAGGCTGACGCTGGCAGTTGGTGTCACACTCAGCCCATATGCCCATTCTGCAGATGAGCCAACTGAGGTTCACACAGATGAAATAACTTGTCAGGGGTCATACTTTAGAGATCAGCTTTGCCTGGATCCCAAGAGAAGGCTTTTCTGCTGCATCTGTCCCCACTCTTTGGAACCCTGGCCTCTCTCCCTTACTAGTCACATCCTTCTCTCTATCCAGTGATACTCTGAACATTGTGGCATCAGATCACCGGCCTTTCACTACGAAGCAGAAAGCTATGGGCAAGGAGGACTTCACCAAGATTCCACATGGAGTGAGTGGCGTGCAGGACCGCATGAGCGTCATCTGGGAGAGAGGAGTGGTACGTTCTAGAGACCCCTCTCTGCTCAAGTCCTAGCAAGAGTTTTCATTCTTTGGAAGCCTGCATCATGGCTCCTTGTTTCACTTAAAAACAAAACCAAAAAGGTCATTTTTCCCCCCAGTCAGAAAGGTAGTATGGCCTACTATAGAAATTTGGAAAGTATGGAAAAATATTAGGAAAGAAAATCCCCATAATTCCATATTGAGAAATTAAATTATTAATATTTTGATATATTTCCTTCAGGTTCTATGTGTGTACTATATGTTATTATAATAACTGGGTTCATCTTTTTTTTTTCATATAGCAGTGTATCCTGTTTGCCTGTATCAGTAAAAATTCTTTTAAAACATCTTTTTTACCAGCCTAATAACATTTCCTCCAATGGTAGTACCACATTTGTTCATCCTTCCCTGATGTTTGGAACTTTTAGCTGTTTCAAATTTTTGCACTTACAAATACTGCTGCAGAGAATTTCTTTGTTCATGAGTAAATATATATATGTCAGCATTCTAATTATTTCTTTAGGACAGATTCCTAGAAGCAGATTTCTGAGCCAAAGGATATGAACATTTTTAAGGTTCTTTATATATTTTGTCTAATTGCTTTTCAAAAAAGATAAGGACTAGGACTTCATTTGAATACCACCTGTTCTCCCCATGAAGAATAAGTATTTTTGGTCTTGACCTATCACAGATTAGACACAGCAAAGTATGAACCTAAGGAGAATTTGAAGTCCTGAAGACTAAGCCACCAGCTTACGGGGGCCCATGAGTAGCTGAGGAATCCCCCTTGAGGGATGTCCATGGTGCTCTCACTGGTAGGTGAGGCAGTAAGATGTTTTTCAAGAGAACAAAATATATGTCTTTTGTGGATGGAGGGAGGCTCCTGACCCATCCATAGTGGGCACATGAGTAGAGCTTTTTGTACAAACAGGAGGTAAATTTCCACCAGGTAGACAGCCTTATGCAAAGTGCCCACTCACCACTGTTGCTTGATGAAGGAGTAAGGAGTGAGCAAGCCTGGGAACCAAGCCAACCAGGTTGGCTTATCTGAGATGGTCCCCACATCATTGTCCTTCTCGGCACCACTGTTCTGATCAACTGAAAGGCCATAGGCCAGAGTCAAGGGTGACCAAGGGTTTGAGGCACACATAGGGTTTGGTTGACTTGACACTTTTGCAATGCTTCAGGTTGGAGGAAAGATGGATGAGAACCGTTTTGTGGCTGTTACCAGTTCCAATGCAGCGAAGATTCTCAACCTGTATCCCCGCAAAGGCCGCATCATCCCTGGAGCTGATGCTGACGTGGTGGTGTGGGATCCAGAAGCCACAAAGTAAAACCTGCTGCTTGTTTCCAGGGCTAGAGGGATAGGGGTATTTAAGGAACTTATCTTACAAAACTCCACAAGCTTATCATCTTTGCACTGCATCTAGCATAGAGAAGTATGATCCTGAGGTGTGGTTCAGTTCAACAAATATTTGAAGGCCTGCATGGTCTGGGCAGTGCAGAGTCTACTTGAAAGTCTCTCTCCTTTTGCCCCTCCTGCCCAAGCTCTCTCCTTCTCTCTCAAAAATAAATAAATCTAAATAAACAGGCAAATAAACACTAGAGTTTATCCCAGTTGATTAATTTCCTGGGGCTGCCCTAGCCCTACCACAGACTGGGGGGCTTATACAGCAGAAATGGATTTTCTCACAGTTCTGGAGGCTAGAAGTCCAAGATCAAGGCATCAGCAGGGCTCACCAGGGTTGGTTTCATCTGAGGCCTCTCTCCTTGGGTTGTCAATGGCTGTCTTTTCCCTCCATCTTCACATGGTCTTTCCTCTATGAGTGTCCATGTCTGGTGTCTCAGTTTCCTCTTCTTATAAAGACATCAGTCAGATTGGATTAGGGTCTACCCTATGACCTCAGTTTACTTAAATTAGCTCTTTAAAAACCCTATCTCTAAATGCAGGCACATTCAGAGACTGGGGGTGTATAAATTTGGGAGACGATAACAATTCAGTCGGCAACAACCAGTTTTTAGGGATTATTCCTTCCCACAGAGCATCCTCCCTTCCCACTAAACATCACCCCTTGTCACTGAGCATCATCCCATCCCACTGAGCATCTCCTCTTCCCACTGAGATGAATTATCTTTACCTCTTCTCAGAGCTTTCTCTCCCACCACTCCCTTTCCGCCAGGACCATCTCAGCCAGCACCCAGGTGCAAGGAGGAGACTTCAACCTGTATGAGAACATGCGCTGCCATGGCGTACCACTGGTCACCATCAGCCGGGGGCGAGTCGTGTACGAGAATGGTGTCTTCATGTGTGCGGAGGGCACTGGCAAGTTCTACCCCCTGAGGTCCTTCCCAGATACTGTCTACAAGAAGCTAGTCCAGAGAGAAAAGGTAAGATGAGGAAAGGGGAAGAAGGTATATGGAAAGAAGTTAAAACCCCCTGTTGGGGAATTCTAGAATGGCTATTTTAAATCTCAAAGATGTTCTCTGTTTTTCCCACTGAATCCTATTGCCTGGAATGGCTACCATGGGAATAATTGGAAGAACAGAAAGGGGTACCTATAACAGTAAAATGTCGTGAGAACCGTTGCTAATTCCCCTGCAGCTAGGGGAATACCACGAGATGCTCAGAGATGTCCCCACGAGATGCTCAGAGATGTCCCCAAAGTCTACTCTAGGAGGACTCTTGGCAGCCCTCTGATAGGATTCCTGGCTTGGCCTGGGTTATCATATTTGCCCTGGAGTTTCTCTTTCCCTGAAACCTCCCTTTCCCTGTGACTGTAGTAAGGTGGGTAGGATTTACCACGTCTGTAATAGTGCATATTTTAGGGGTCCCACCCAGTCCTTGGATTCCATAAACACCTGTTCACTAAATCTTTGGGCTTCATCTCATCCCCAGGGCTTCTGTCCTCTGAGTAGACAAGTCACCCAAAAGAAGACTGGCTGTTCCCTCATTGCTTGGGAATTGATGGTCCAGCCTTATCATTGAGAGCTGCCCCGGAGAATCAGGCCTGAGTTCTTGCTGACAACTCCAGGTGCTGGGAACTGCAGCCCTGGCCTCTGGGTGGATGTCCCAGATCATCAGCAAAGAGCAAATCTGATACAGGGACAGCATCATGCTGTTTCCCTTCCCCTTCTTTTGGCAAAAGGCAATATTCTAGAAGTGTTCTTCTATCATGACCGAGAGCCCCACAGCCCGTGCCTCACTGGTCCAGCAGCTCTCTTGCCTAGGCTCTGGGATGCTGTGGTTGGAATCATGGCACACTTAAGAGATGTCAATCCTTTTTTTTTTTTTAATTTCCTCATTCATCTTCTCCTGTGTTCTATTCTTCTGTTCCTTTTGTCCAGTCCCTCCCAATCCTCTATACACAGCACATACTCACTATGTGTTCTGAAAGTAGTTCAGCAAAGTTTCTGGTAAGCTGCCCAGCTCAGCCTCATCAGTCAGCCACTTGTCTGTGCAGGGATGAGACTCAGTAAAATGGGGTGTGTGTTTTTTGGCCAGAGACCCGAAGTAGCAGCTGGTGGGGGCACCCTTTCTAGATTCTTCCAGGTCACCTCCCCACCCCCACCTCACCCCCCATATCATAGTCACTGTCCCAGACCAGCATCAGCTTCCTACTCTTAGGTGCCGTGTTCTCTACTCACCATCAACTCTGACTTCCAGCAGGGACCAGAAATATAAAGGACCCTGACCGAAAAAGACTCAGTTGCCATGTTGCTGAGCTCTAGAAATCTGCTCAATAGTATCCCAGGAATAGGCCTTTTAAGAGCTGCCTGTGGCTTGGCACACTTGCCGTGAAATGATTACATGACCTCTTGTCTTCAGCCAAACTCTTGGTTCTCTAGTCTTTATGCAAAGGCCAGACTTCCTGACTCAGTCCCTCAGGCCTCCCCTCCTTGTTCCCATTCTTGTTCCTTCCTGGAACCACCCAAAGGCTTTTAGGAGCAGCTGCTTCAGCCTGTGCCTTACCAGCTGTTCTCTGAACATCCACTACTCTGGCTGGCCTGTAAGGCCTCAGTCCTGGAAGGAAGATTCCACCAGGTCGGATGGGAGGCTAGCACAGGCCTTCCTGCTCTCCTAAGACCTCTAACCAAGACCTTGTTTCACCCTGAGTGTGGTCCTCCATAGAGCCCCACTGTACAAGTTCACTGACAAAAACCACAGCTTTCACAAATATAGTCCAGCTCTCCTGGGCTGGAAGGGGGATGTGTGTTGGGACAAGGGGAATGCTAGAGCCGAGTACTACCAGTTTTAATTCCCCATCTTTGATTATCAAATATAATTTTTTTAAGTTTTATTTACTTCAGTAATCTCTACACCCCACATGGGAGTCAAACTCACAACCCCAAGATCAAGAGTCACATGCTCCTCTGACCAAGCCAGCCAGGACTCCTGATTTTCAGATCCAATTTTAAGTAGCCAGACAAACAAGAGTTCTGGGTTCCTGAAGGCACAAGAGGGAAGCGTGAACCAGTCTGTGACCACTGAGTCACCTTTGATTCGTTGGCTTTGATTCGTTGGCCCTTGAGGTCCTACCATTGCCTGGTTCATTCCCAGTCTTGATGAAGTGAGGGCATGTAAGCCTGATATTTGAGATGCAATGCTCTAAAGTGTAAGAGTAAGCAGGGCATGTTAACACCAAAAGATCAATTCTGCTGGCTTTCCCTGTGTGACAGCCCAGAGTGCTCAGAATGATGTAAAGACCCTTCTTTCCCGAAGACCAAATCTGCTGTGGGGGAGCAGACTTGGGTTACCTGAAAAAAAAAAAAAATGACTTCAGTTATCAGTGTTCAATTCAAAACTCGGGGTCTGTTGCAAGATGAATGGGGCCATCTCCAGTCTACTCCCTGGATGTGGACAATGGCGGGTGGCCTCAGCCAGCTTCTGGAGGGGGTACTGGCAGGAGCAGTAAGAGTGAGGCATTCATACACCTGAACATCTGGCAAAGTGTGGCTGTCATTTTAAAAACCAAACTGGAAAATAACATTTGTTGGTTAGGATGTGGAGAAGCTGGAACCCTGAATCATTGCCAGCGGGAATGTAAAATGGTGCAGCCACTTTGGAAAACAGTTGGGCAGTTCCCCAAAAGCTATATATTAGGGTTACCAAATGAGCCAGCAGTTCTACTCTTGGGTATGTCCTCAAGGGAAATACAAATATATGTCTACACAAAAGCTTGTACATAATGTTCATAGCAGCATTACTCATAGAGGCCAAGAAGTAGATACAACTCAAATGTCTCTCTGCTGTTGAATGGATAAGCAGAATGAGGCATATTCATATGGTAGAAGATTATTCAGCCAGAAAAGGAAATGGAGTTCTCACAGATACTACATGCTGCATACCTGAGCCTGAAAAAAGGATGCTAAGTGAAAGAATCAAGTCACAAAAGATCACCAATTTTATGACTCCATTTATATGAAATGTCCAGAAGCAAGAAAGCCCATAGACAGAAAATCCATCAGTGGTTACTCAGGACTAGAGGGTGGGGGAATGGGTGTGAGGTTGCTTCTGGGTGATGAAAATGTTTGTGAATGAGATGGTAGAGGTGGTGGCTCAGTGTTGTGAATATACACCACTGAAACACCACTAAATTGTATACTTTATTAATTTTTTTTTTCAGGAAGAGTGAGAGAGTGCAAGTGGGGGGAGGGGAATCTTAAGCAGACTCAGTGCTGAGCACGGAGCTCTCTGTGGAGTCGATCTCATGACCCCAAGATCATGACCTGAGCCTAAATCAAGAGTCCAATGTTTAACTGACTGAGCCACCCAGGCGCCCCTGAATTGTATACTTTTTTTTTAATTGTATACTTTAAAATAGCAAGTTTCACGGTACGTGAATTCTATTGCAATTAAAAAAAAAAAAGAATATCTGATGACAGTTTTGTGGTCCTTCCAAAACGGACATTTTAGTCAAGAAATAGGGTCAACAGAGAGCAGAGGAGGTATTTTAAGCCCTTCTTCTTTTTAATTTTATTTATTTATTTATTTATTATTATTTATTTATTTATTTATTTATTATTTAAGCCCTTCTAAAAGCCAGCCTCATAAAAGTGTGAGGTGGATACCAATTCACAGCACTGCTCCTCAGGGCCAGCCACCGTGGAAGAGCAGTAGCTTCAGGACTGATGTAAATTCAACCCAGAGGGTCTTTATCTCAAGCACTTATTACAATGACAATATAAGGTTCCCAGGAAAAAAACCTGTTGAGTTGTTGTTCTGTCACAGTCTTTATGTAAAAGAATGTATATATGCAGAAAAAGAAAACTAACAAAACTCATTTTCCAAAAACTGTGTATGATCAGCCCCTAGAGAGCATGGGCCTCGGGGAAGAAAGTATCTCTGGTAGAGTGTTGGGTGTGCACCCAGTAGTGAGGGGGCTGCCAGAAACTGTGGCCTGCCAGGGTCACCAGCCAGCCTGTGCCAACCTATCACCCCCCAGGACCCCAGCCGCCAAAGCCAGGATGCCAAAGTGCAGCCTGGTAAAGGCCAAAATAGTTCAGACCAAAAGGGTTGAGCTAAAAGATAGATCTGTTGTTGGAGAAGATAAAGGAATTTGTAGGCTGAAGATCCTTCAAGAAATTCCCCATGTGTATTGTTTCAGCAAGATTTTCAGTAAACCGCAAGCAGCAAGGAGGTTGAGGTGATGTCCCTAACAAGTGCCTGGGGTGTAGATCATCTACACTCCTCCTTCAGATCTTATGTGCATGCTCAAACTCACTTTGAGTCCTCCTGGAAGTAGCACCTTTTAACACGAGAAAGCACATGTCAGTGACCTCTGCCATAATTAGAGCTGCTGATCCTTTTTTTTTTTAAATTTTTTTTTAAATTTTTATTTATTTATGATAGTCACAGAGAGAGAAAGAGAGAGAGGCAGAGACATAGGCAGATGGAGTAGCAGGCTCCATGCACCGGGAGCCCGATGTGGGATTCGATCCCGGGTCTCCAGGATCGCGCCCTGGGCCAAAGGCAGGCGCCAAACCGCTGCGCCACCCAGGGATCCCCAGAGCTGCTGATCCTTTATGTCACTTGCCATGCACCAGAACAGTTCTAAGAGCTTTATGTTTATTAATTCATTTGATCTCATAACAGTTCTACATGTAATATTAATAGGTACTATTATTATCCTAAGGAAACAGGTACAGAGAAATTAGATAACTTGCATAAGGTCATAGAGCTTCCAAGTATAAGCAGAGCTGGGATTGGAACCCAAACTATCTGGATGCAGAACATAGGCTCAACTTTACTGCCTTTGTGAGTACAAAATTAACTAGTATTGCCATTGGGGGATTCTCATCTTCAAATCAGCTATATTTTCCTTGTATCCCCACAAAGTTGTCAGATCACAGCAAAAGGCATGGCCTCTTGGGAGCCTGGCCAGTGAGGGGATAGCATTGCTCAGAAATCTGCCTGCTGCCTTGGAAAGGATTCCACTAATATTGAGGGGGAGCCAGCAGGGGCCCCCATATGCATGTACACACACCTGGATTAGGAGTTAAAAGAATCCTCTGCAGGGCACCTGGGTGGCTCAGTGGTTGAGTGGTTGAGCGCCTGCCTTCAGCTCAGGTCGTGATCCCGGGACTCTAGGATCAAATCCAGCATCGAGCTCCCCACAGGGAGCCTGCTTCTCCCTCTGCCTATGTCCCTGCCTCTCTCTGTGTGTCTCTCATGAATAAATAAATAAAATATTTTTTTTAAAAAAATGAATCCTCCACTCCCTGAGCTCCAGATGTAGAAACTTTTGTCACATATAGTCATCTGGGTCCTGAGAAGAGTGGCAGCAGCCAACCTCCTGTCATCCATCCAGGAGACTCTGGTGCCCGGGCTCTGATGGCGTCATCTTTTCCCATTTTCTCCTTCATCCTTCACTAGACCTTAAAGGTTAAGGGAGTGGACCGCACTCCCTACCTGGGGGATGTAGCTATCGTCGTGCATCCTGGGAAGAAAGAGATGGGAACACCGCTCGCCGACACCCCTACCCGGCCTGTCACCCGACACGGGGGCATGAGGGATCTTCATGAATCCAGCTTCAGCCTCTCTGGTAAGATCAGGGGCCGCTCTGATTGCCACCTGCGTCTCTGCCCCAGAGGGGTAGCCAGAGCAGAGGCCCGCCCAGGCAGAGGGACTTCCGCAGCTCTTCCTCTGTATCTTCTCCCTCTCTCCCCTATCCCACATTTGGAGATGAGTGCTGGGTCCCACATTAGAGACACACAAATATTAGGAGGGGCAAGAGGGCTCTCCCGGTCCCTGGGCACCAGCCACTCCAAGAGGCCATGGCTTATCTGGTATTCTCCCCATGTTTCTAAGTCCTGATATTTTTTTCCCTTGAAACATTTTGAGGGCTCTGTACACAGTGGGGGGCCCCAGGGGTGATTAGAGCTCAGAAGGGTTAACACTCTGTGCTACATGGGACTGCACCCCATTGTAGTCTCTGTGTCCCCATTCCTGCTCCTCACCAGCCTCTGAGAGAGAGGATTCCCTTACTCCCTTTCCTCCCTCATCTCAACCCCATGTTTGACCCTCCAGCACCTTCTCTTTTTGCCAGCAATTTTAATATGGGTAATACCATATATAATAATATATGGGGTGTGTCTGTGCTCTGGGACTTTATTTATCCCAGGTACCCTGCAGTAGTGAAAGGTGGTGGTCATGGCCACAAACACGGTAGCCCTCCTGGAGCACAAGCAGAAGCTGTAAGGTGGCTTGGTCCTGCAGGCAGCTTTGACGGATCCACTCGAAAGGGGCACGGTTGGGTCTCTGTGAACACGTTGAGCGGCCTTCAGAAGGAGACCAGACGGAGGCCTGTCATCCCTCTACAAGAGCCACACTGGGACCCGAACAGTAAAAGGAGCAAGATCCAAATCCTTCCACACAGCACATATTGACTACTGGCTTACACAAGCTGTCCTAACACAAGAGGCCGAGGGGTACCACGGGAGCAGGTCTGCCCACTGAGCTCCCTCTGTGCCCCCCCAATGTGCTGGGGGCAGCCTGGGTCAAAAGACACATGCTTCCTGTTTTGAGGACCTTGTAGTCTGTGGGGAGGGGTCCTCTCCATCCTCAGAGCCAATCTCATTGCCAAGATTACTCTTCCCCCACCCTGAAGGCCACTGCCACTCCCACTAGCGACAAGACCCATGTGTTGGGAGTCAGAAAGGAATCCGTGGTTGGAGTGTCAGTGGGCACTCAGGCCTTGCCACTCCAGGAGGGGTCGGTTCCCACGCCTGCCTGGGCATGGTCCCTCCTGCCGCAGCCAATCCCATGGGAAGCCACGAGGCCCTCAGAGCTGTGGGCTCTCTGGCTGGTGGCTTCTGTTCTTGCCACATCTCAGCGCAGGACTTCTCTCAAATTCAGCAAAATCAGGCATCCTCCCACCTTTCTTCCACCCCACCTTGTCTGTTCTGGATGGGCTGGACTGAAGAATGTTCCATTAACTCTCTGGGACACCAAGCCTCCTAAGTCTTGAGATTTCAAGATGCTGGGTCTATGGGGCGTGGTTCTTTGGTTTTTCAGAGCAATGGAGGAACAATGCCCAGCCTTCTCCGTCTCTTGCTCACTGAGGCATGCATACAAAGGCCCACGTGCTAATGGGCTGATTCATGGTCTCTGCACCACAGGAGACCACATGTCCAGGCTTGGGAGCAGCAGAGGTGGCAGCATAGGGCAGTGAATGGCAGAGGCCCTGAATCAGAAAGACCTGGGTTCAAATCCAGTTCTACCACTTACACACTCTGTAACCCTGGGCAAGTCACTTAACTTCCCTGAGCCTCGGTTTCCTCATCTGTAAAACTGGGATGGAGTTACAAGGATTTGGCTAGATCACACCCACACAGGGCTTACCAGCTTCCACCAGGAGATGGTGACGGCGCGTTTATTACCCAGTGAGCAGCCGGGCTCACCCTCTGCTTCCTTCCCTGCAGGTTCTCAAATTGATGACCATGTTCCAAAGCGAGCTTCGGCTCGGATCCTCGCTCCCCCCGGAGGCAGGTCAAGCGGCATTTGGTAAAGGCACTGACCAGCCCCTGCAAGTGAGGACGCACCGCCGCCACCAGCCCGCACACCCTCTGGCCACTGCTGCAGGGGGCGGGAGAGGCTGGGCCGGGCAGCGGGCAGCGCACCACCTGAGGGGGCCACGGGACCCGGGGAGCAGCTCCCCATGTCTGCCACGTGATTCACTGTGCTTCGAGCCAACCCTAACAGGCACTTTGAGATGTGTTCCTCCCGTCACAGTCCTTTCCTGCCTTGACCTCGGCAGGCTTTTGGGGAGCCCAGGAAACCCACACTATGCACAGAGCCCAATGCATAGAGCCCGGCCCAGCCCCTCCTCCTACAGCCGCCTCCATGTGCTGGCTTTGGGAAAGCCCAGACTTTAGTGCCCTGCCCCCTGGCTGACCCGCCAGCTGTCCGGAGCACTTTAGCAGATGCGCGTTGGAGGGAAAGGCCCCCTCCCTCTAAGGAGGCTCTGTGGTCACTTTTCCCCAGTCAGACAGGTGTCGGCTTCCCAGCCGCGCCCAGCGTGTCCCGTGTTTCCCAACGTGGCCCTGGCCCCTGTGTGGGTGCGGTTGGGACACTCTGCACCCTTCGCCAGCTTCTTCCTCCTCCCACCCCACCCCCCGGGAGTCACAGGCCCCGAGGGGCTAGCCGGGCGGGGCACGGGGCTGGTGCCAGGCGCGTGTACATGATTTTGTTTTGCACGTTTGGTTTGCGCAGTGGTTTGGTTTGACTTGTTTGTGCATCCTGTGAAGAATAACGGTGCTTCGTGTCACTAGCATAGCATAGAAACAGGAGTAGATGTGGATCTTAAGAGACGCTGCACTCGACACCGACCAGACAGCCGAGGGCACAGACCAGGAGCAGGGCGAGGTGCTGGCCTCACGGGCCCCTCTCCTCCCCACCTGGAGGCTTCCAGGCCGCCGCAGCCCCATCCCAGGCCCTCCTCCTGTCCCTGCCCCTCCTGGTTAGTTTCCTACATTCCTAGGGGATGCCCAGTACGCCAACCCTGGGGGCCTCTGGGGAGCCTTTCCCATATCTGGCTCTGACCACTCCCAGCACTAACACCCCCAAACACCCAGCTTCCTGGAAACTCCCCCCACTGGGCAGAGGCCCTGCTGCTCCTCCTGTGTGATTGGCAAGAGGCCTCATGCCTGCTAAGAGAGGGGGAGCGGAACTAGGGAGTGAGTGGGCTAGAGGCGGGGGAGGGAGGCCAGGCCTGGGCAGACCCAGCTGGAGAGCCCACAATGCTGCACAGGTGCTGTGGCCCCTGTGGTCAACACCTCACCTGTACCTGCTTCTCCTCCCACGTCCAGTTGGGCTCTCCCTGCCTCAGAAGCTCCAGGAGGTTTCCGTGGAAACACTAGAGGCTGGGTGATCTCCGTCCACCCTGAGTGAACTGGGAAGCAACTCGACTGCCTGCCCTTCTTTCTTAAGCCTTGCCCCCCCCCCCCCCCCCCGACCTCCCCATCACAGGAGTGATTTCATGTTGCACATTTGCTTTGTGCACCCGGGGCTTGTGCCAGGGCTCTTGGGCTAGTGGTCACACCCTGCACATTTCTTCAGTGCTTTACATGTTTCAAAGCGCTTCCATACACGAGCCCTCAACTGCTCCACATGACAGAGCATTCGTTGTTCTCCCCATTTCACAGACGAGGCCCAGAAAGAGTAGGCCTTCTGACCCCAGAAGTGCCCATGATGACCCTTAAAGAGCGTGGCTGTCTACCCTAGCTGTGGAAAGGAAGAGTGGGGTGACATCTCTTGCAGATCCCACCTGAGAATTTAACCCTCCAGAAGACTTACACCCTTGGTAGGTGTTCTGCTTTGTTTCGCACAGGTAGATAGATTTTTCTTATAAACAAGCTAATGCATATTCACTGTCTGAGCCAGAACTTGTTAAATAGTGGGGGCCTTGCCATGTGATTTCAGCTGCCTCCACATCCTCACTTCCCCCTCCATGCTCATCCTCCTCACTTAGGAGCTGAAAGGACAGAGATAGTACCCCAGGGAGCAAGGGAAGAAAGACACTCATGGAGGGGGGCAGCCACAGGGACAGTAGGTAGGGCTCTGGGCCTGGGAAACCGTGACATGATACAATGCACATCATCTTCTTCATCCCAGCCCTCTGCTGGGTCATGGGCCTTGGGCAGATGCCAAAGAGCCGAGCAGTGGTGGTAGCCAGCAGGCAGAGCATCCCTGCTTGGGCTAGGAAAGCTTTACCTTCTCTGAGTGCCTCCACCTGAGAGATGCATGGTCCATGGGATGGCTCTGGGAGATCACATCTTGGAGTGGTCCACCCTAGGCCTTCCCCTCCATCTCACCTTCCCCCACCCTACCCCACCCGATCCTTACATAGTCCCCACCCTTGCCCAGGAGCTTCTAGATGAAAATCAGAAGGAGGTTCAAGGGACCCAATGAACGGTCAGCTCCCACTCCCCACTCCTTGCCCCTGTGCAGAGCTCCAGCCAGCTCCATCAGCAGCCCCACTGCTTCTGGCTGGAACAAAAAGGGTCTCTGGTTGCACTGAATGCAGCTCTCAAACTGGTCTTGTACTTGCTGAATAAATACTGTTGTTCTTGCCTTAGCTGCTCTCTAGGTTTGTGGGACTAAGTTACCAGAAAATTGTGCTACCGTGTGTGTGTGTGTGTGTGTGTGTGTGCGCGTGTGTAGTGCTAGGAGTCCACAGCAGGTCTGTCAAGCCAATGCCGTGATGAGGGCTTTTCCAGTACTGACCCAGAAATCACAGAACCACGCGAAAATCCAAACCCCCTCCAGCTGCCCAGGCAGCAGGCACAGCCTGGGGTCGGGATGGAGCCTCCGGCACCCAAGTGACTTCTCACTCCTCTGTAAACGTCATGGTGCTAAGATTGTGTCAACCCAAGACGACACATGGTCCTGTGCTCTGGCCACCTGTTTGAGGCAAAGACAAAACAGCCCGACACATTGTGTTCTGGTGCAGGTTTGTATTAAACTGTAGCTACTTCTCACTTGGTCTCAGTGGTATTTCTTCAGAGAAAGGGGAGTTTGGCAGGGGATGTCCTCCACGGTGGCAGGGGCAAAGCTTCTCGTGCTAAGAAAACTCAGCTTCGGTTCTTCACTCATGTTGCGGGGCAGGTAGCCTCTCACTGGGAGACCTGAGCGGAGTCTGCAGAGAAGAGCAGCTGGGAGGTGGGAGCCTCAGTACCCAGCACTTGGTGCTCAGTCCTCCTCCTAGTGGGAACAAAACCAAGACTTATGGTACTAGATTCCCAGGGCAAGGTTGCTGAGTGAAGTAAAACAGAGATAATTGGGGGAAGTATTACATACAAAAGGTGGGGAAACTAGGCTTAACCCATTTACCCTTTGTTGCCTTTTCTTGGCTACCACTTTGGAAACCCTTAGCCCCCTCTTTACATGGTGGCACTCTTGGGCGATGGAGCTACGGCCTCATAAGATCACAGGACAGAAGGCTGTACCAAGGCCAGCGTGTCTCTGAAGGACCTTCAGGCTGTTCTCTGGTTCTCCAGAACCCCACCTTTTGGATTGGTCTACTGTACCTTCCAACCCATTCCACCTGCACCAAGACTCCTCTACCTTCCCTCTAGATCTCAGCCAGATGTTGGAAGGGATTACTGTATCAAAGTCTTCCACATCGAAGAGTGAAATCGTTGCTTCCATACAATAGGGCCACTTGTATTTATTAGCCCCCCGAAGACAAAACCCTAGTAAGGGAATTTAAAGCAGTGAATGAAATAGTTGACAGCAAAGGAATTTGCCCACCTTTCACCAAATAAACAACTGAGCAAATAAGGCCACAACAGAGAAACACTTGGGGTGTTGCCGCTGGGGCAAAGCACTTGGCTGTAATGCAATGAGTTGCCTGGACCAACTCTGATGGGTTTGCTGTTATTTTTAAGATTTTATTTATTCATGAGAGACACATAGGCAGAGGGAGAAGAAGACTCATGCAGGAAGCCCTTTGCAGGACTCAATCCTGGACCCCAGGATCACGCCCTGAGCTGAAGGCAGACGCTCAGCCATTGAGCCACCCAGGCATCCCTCTGATGGGGTTTCTGAACCACGTGGAAACACTATTACCTGGCCTGTGAAGGATGCCAACTCCTTGGGATGGGACTGGGCCAAAGTGTCCGTGTTACCCTGATTTCCCATAACGGGAGAGCATACCAGAATTTGACTAACTGCCAAAAATCCATTGTTTTAAATGTTTGGATGAAAAATTATATGGCTATATGTTTGGCGGGCCATGTGCATGGTATTGGGTGGTTTGAAGAGAAAAAAATAAAATACCCAGAAACACACAGCACGCCTTTGTGTGTATGTAATTGGAAAATAAAAGACCACAGACTTGAACATAAGGTAATCTATGAAGATCGTTTATAAGATTACCCGCATTCTGGAAAACCTCTCCAGCCAGTGACAGGGCAAACTTCACCCTCCATCTCTCTATCCCAATTACAGGAGGACTTTTTTACAAGGGTATAACCTAACACTAATAATTGCCTTGTAGTCAGTGGTGACGAAAGAGTCTCATGACACCCCAGGTATGAAGAAGAAACTTCATGGTACGCAGACAGGGTAGACCTTATAGTGCTAGGTTAATAAAAGACTATTTGATATGTCTCTGATAACACATTTGAAAGGGTTTTAGAGCTTTCCCACTAAAACCTTAAAGGATCTAACATCCTTTTTTTTTTAATGCAACAAATTTTATTTAGCATAGTCAGACCAAACATTCAGCACAAAAAGTTTACAGAGGATAGAAAGTTCATTAACAAAAGCCAGTCTTGACCAAAAGAAAACAGAAAATATAGTATTGATTCAAAATATTTTACACTTGAATGATAAACTGCAATAACTTATTCTGGGCACCTACTGATAAGAGAAAGAAAGAGAAGAAATGAATGCTTTAAGAAGAGCCCAATCTCCGGCTGATATCAGAGAATTCAGTAGAGGTCACTGAGACCGGCAGTCTTTCTTGCTTTTTGCATTAGTGGCTTCAGCTGGAACTGTTTACGGGACAGACAACGCACATGCTTCAGCAAGACATCCAGATCTATTACTCCCCGCCTCAAGGCTTCTCCCAGGTAAAAGATAGTGTCTTCAATAGCATTTTCCTCTGCATACAGATTTAGGATGTTTGTATAGTGGGGCTGTGGGAATGATAACTTCATCAATAGCATTGTTTTCAGACTGATTTTCCATTTTCTCCAGAGCAGAACTGAGTTCTTCATCCTTCTTTCTCAAAAGTTCTATGTTTTTATCGACCTCAGCCACTTCTTGATCTAAACGGGTAACCATCTCTTCCAGTTTCTGGTGACCTTTTTTCAGGTCTTCCTCTGTTCATTTCAAGGCATTGAGCTCTGCCTGGGCATGATCCATTTCCTCCTTCATCCGCCATCTCAGCTTGTCACTGACCGCTGAGATGACAGAGGCTCAGATGGTGTCCTCGCTGATGGTGCGGTCCCTACTGGGGCCGACAGTGGCCACAGGAGGCTGGGAAGGGTACTGAGAACTTGTTGTGGCAGGATACTGACCACCAGGTGGGTAAGGACAGCCTGGATAACCACTGGGGTTGGGAGGATATCCAGATGGATATGCAGAGATTCCACTTGGCATGCTTGGCATATAGGAAGTATTTGGTGGCCCTGTTGCCTGGTACAGTGGATAAGATGCCAAAATAGTGGGACAAGAGAAGACTGGGGGTTCATCTCCAAACACCACAATCATGACCTGAATAAGCCCCAACAAGTCTGACTGAGGATGTTTCCATTCATGTAGATAAGGAAGATATGTCTTCCCATTTGCATCAACATGCTTTCCCGTTTTATTTTTTTTTTAAGATTTTATTTATTTATTCATGAGACAGAGAGAGAGAGAAAGGCAGAGAGGCAGAGACACAAGCAGAGGGGGAAGCAGGCTCCATGCAAGGAGCCTGATGTGGGACTCGATCATGGGACTCCAGAACCACGCCCTAGGCCAAAGGCAGGCGCCAAACTGCTGAGCCACCCAGGGATCCCCTGCTTTCCCGTTTTAATAGTCATTGAACTAATAGGCTTAATGAAACAGATAAGGGGATCATATGGGTATGTGTCCAGCAGCCAGAGGCATATTGGAATACATATATTACCTTTATAAGGCATTGTTCCAGTGAGGTTCATGAGTTCCCTGGAACTGCCATCATTAGAAACATGAATCCAATACAGGTTTAAGATCTTTGTATAAAGTAATAACACTGACAGTTTCACATACAGTTAGGTCTCTGTATTTGTACTTGGATGCCATCTTCTTGAGCTGGCTCTCTGACACCGCCATGGCGGCCACCTCACGACTCCCGTCCCCCAGGATCTAACATTCTGTTGAGACTTGATGCTGTTGAGACTTGATAGTGTCTTACAATGGAAGCCGAATTCTTCATTTCTTCCCCTGGTATATTCACAAGCCACACATTTATACCTGCAGGGATCTTGTCCTGGTTGCCCCAGAACAGTTCTGGGTTAAGTCTCATGGTCCAGAATAATTATGCATAGTGCCCCCTTTCATATATGTCATGACTGGGGCAGTAAATTATATGGCCACCTCATGCATGCTTATATATTCCTTAGGCCATTCATAAGCCTGTCCAGGAGTTTAAAAGTTTTCTACCAGTAAAAGTTGAGGGGCAGAGCATCATGGGAGGTGGGGAAAAAGGGTCCTTCTGCAGGGGGTAGGGATAAGGGTGTCCTGTGACAATCCCTGAGCCTTCACAGTGTGGGAAGTTTCATGAAGTCTCAGTGGCTATGGATACAGCAGAGTGGTGAAGGTCTAGGGCACTTTCCTAAGCGTTTCAGTTTAGCTTATAGACATTATTCATTAAAAATTGTAAGTCTACCAACTCTTATCAGGTAAGGGGACTTTTTCATTTTAAGGGGACTTTGGTCCCATTAATCCACTTAATTGAACACTTTATAACATTTCTAACTACATTTGAAATTCTATTTCCTTTTTTTAAAAGATTTTATTTATTTAATCATGAGAGAGACACAGAGACACAGGCAGAGGGAGGAGAATCAGGCTCCCTACAGGGAGCCTGATGTGGGACTTGATCCCAGAACCCCAGGACCACGCCCTGAGCCAAAGGCAACCAGGCGTCCCTCTATTTCCTTTTTAAGAAACTTTCCTGAGGGCACCCCGGGTGGCTCAGCAGTTTAGCGCTGCCTTCAGCCCAGGGTATGATCCTGGAGACCCGGGTCCCACATCTGGATCCCTGCGTGGAACCTGCTTCTCCCTCTGCCTGTGTCTCTGCCTCTCTCTGTGTGTGTCTCTCATTAATAAATAAATAAAATCTTAA